CCCCGCGCCCGCCCTCAGCGCGTGGACGAGGTGCTGCAGCAGGTGGGGCTGGCGCACGTGCGCGGCGTCATCGTCGGCAGCCCCCTGCGCAAGGGCATCAGCGGCGGCGAGCGCAAGCGGCTGTGCGTCGGGATGGAGCTGCTGACGCGGCCGGTGCTGCTCTTCCTGGGTGGGTTTGGCGGCAGGGCCGCGGCACGGCGTGGCTGGCTGGGTGCCTGGGTCCCTTCTCTTCCCGGGGGCAGCCGCGTGCCCCCTTCTGGGTGCCCACCCCCTACGCGGCCGCCCGCTGGGCGCGGACCGGGGCTGGTGCGGCGGCCGCAGGGGCGGACGCAGTCCCTGCCCGCAGCGTGGTGGTAGCACGGCAGTCTCATACACACCGGATATGCCACTCCTGCACGCGTGACCTCTCGGGCCGCCGACAACAGCCTCTTCGCACACTGCCCATCTGACAGCCGTGCACGGCCCCCCGACGCTTACCGTCCTCCAGACGAACCGACGTCCGGCCTGGACTCAACCACCGCCCTGAGCCTGTGCCGTCTGCTGCGCGGCCTGGCGGACTCCGGGGCCTGCACGGTCATCGCCACGCTGCACCAGCCGCAGACCAAAATCTTCCAGGTGCGAAGGCCGGCGCTTTTTGCGCGCGTGCGCGGGTAGCGGCCCTGCGATTTTCAGCGCCTGGAGGGCTTGATCTCCAGTGACGGGACCGGCGCCTCCTGCGGACGGCGCACGCGGTCGCCCGCTGGATCGCGCCACCTGCCCACTGGCTCACCGCTCCAAATGCACCACACAGGCTGGCTGCGGCGATGGCTTCAACCCTGATTCTGACAAGCCACGCACCCCGTGCTCTTGCCCCAGCCCATCCCGGCTCACCCCACACACTGGCCCGCGCGTTTTCCCCTCCCCGCCTGCGCCGCCCCCTACCTGCCCCTCCCCAGCTGTTTGAGGGCCTTATTCTGCTGCGCGGCGGCGCCGTCGTGTACCAGGGCCCTGCGTCAGAGGCCCTCGCATACTTTGAGGACGCCGGCCACAAGTGCCCGGGTGAGCCCAGCGCTCGGCGGCCGGCTGGTCAATAGGCCCCTGCTAGCCTTCAGGCGGAGGAGTGGCCCTTTGCTGGCTTTCGGCCCGACAGACCGTTATCCAGGCTTGAAAGCGCTCGCTCTCCTTCAGAGTGCATTTCGTTGCTGGGGTGGCCCTGCTGCCCGCTTTAGGGCGGGTGGATTTGCCACCTCGTCCTGCTACTACCTGACCAATGTGCATCATATCATGCCGGCCTGTGCAACCGGCTCCGCCCCCTCCCCCCCTGCCCCCAGAGCTGACCAACCCGGCGGACTTCCTGATGGATGTGATCATGCCCAACAGCGGCGACATGGGCGGCAGCACGTGCTCCCTCGACACCAAGGCCGCGGTGAGGGGCGCCCCGACCCGGCCCGGCCCGGCGCCGCGGGGCGGCGGCCGCCGGCTTGGGCCTGGATCTGGCAGCGGGGGGGCAAGTTTGTGTAGCAGTGCAGCTGGGACGGGTTGGTGGGGTCGACGCTTGGGGCTACCTCCCCCAGGCAATGACGCAGGATTTGCTGTCCGTTGCAACTGGTATCCGCCCGTCCAGGTCCTAAGGCACCAGCTGGCGCGGGACGTGTCGGTCGTCTGGAGGGAGGCCAGGTGCGGCGCATGATGGGCATATGGTGCCATCACTTGCGCAGATGTGTCAGGAACTCTGGTCGATCCCCGCTGGCAAGGCGGTGACGGTCTGTTGGGTGCCAAAAACAGTCAAGATTTCCAGAGCAAGGGCGCTGGAAGGCGATGCCGCGCCACGCCGCGCCGCGCCGCGCAGGCCGCCTGTGGCGCTGCGCGAGGTGGTCCCCTGGAGCCGCCAGTTCACGGTGTTGCTGGAGCGCTCCTTCAAGGAGAAGATGCGCCAGCGCGACGTGCTGCTGACTCAGCTGGCGCAGTCGGTGGCAATGGCGGTGCTGATCGGTACCGTCTTCCTGCAGGTGCGGGCGTCGGTGCGTGTGTATGTGTGCAGATGCGCACGCGTGCGTGCATGCGCATATATGTGTGCGTGTGTGCTCTTGTGCGTGTGCCCCATATACACTCTTCTCTTTGTGGTGGTGTGGGTATTTGTGACTGTGTGTGTGTGTTTGTGTGTGCGTTGTGTGTGTGTGTGTGTGTGTGTGTGTGTGTGTTGGCCATGTTGATGCTTGCGTGTGAGTCTGCGCCTTTTTATGGGGATTGCAAGGATGAATTGATTGAAACCAGCACAGCTCTCGGCGTGACGCCTGCTATGGACATGGGGTTCACAACCGGCGATGCAAGAAGCATCGTCAAGTCACAACTCTCCCCTCCTGCTGAATTGAGGCACGCCTCAATTGCGTCCACCTTGCTTCCCCCCCTCTTAAACCTTCGCACACAACTTCCTGGACGCCCCTGACGCACCGCACTCAACAGATCGGCACCAACCAGACTAGCACCACTCGCCGTCAGCCGGTGCTGTTCTTCTGCGTGATCAACCAGGGCATGTTCGGGGCGCTGCAGGTGGGGCGACGCCACGCCCCCATGCAAACGTGGCGCAATGTTGCTTAGGCTGCGCCTGCCATACACGTTTTGCAGCCCGCAGTGCTGCGCGGCCAGGCGCCAGGAATGCAGGCACGCAGCCGGCCACACAAATGACTGACGTCTCTGGACCTGATAGGTGGGCCGCCGATGGCTCCAGGTCGCCTTGACCCCTGACAGCCTGCTGCAGCCCCTCCGGCCAGCTCGAAGGATGCGGCCAGCGCCCGCAACCGCAGCCACTGCCCTCCCCCCACCGTTTTAGATGATCAACTCATTCCCAAGCGAGAGGATCCTGGCGCTGAGAGAGAGGGCCGCGGGAACCTACTACTCAAGTGAGGCCCGCTCCCGCCACCCCACCCCACCCGCGTCCAACGAGCCCTACCGCGCCCGCCGACCGGGCGGCACGGCGGCGCGCCGCGGACCACCGCGCCCAGCTTGCACGGGGGCGCACCCCATGGTTTCGCCGCCCAGTGTTTTGACGCCAGCCCCTGTGGCGTCCAACCATGTGTGACCTGCGCTCCTACGACACCCAACGTCGCCCCTTCCTCCCTGCCCCCTGAATACCTTGAAAATTATGCAAGGCGCATACTTCATGGCCAAGATCACTGCCGAGACGCTCTTCCAGCTCCCCATGCCCGTCATCTTCAGCATCATCGTCTACTGGCTGGTCGGCCTGCAGGCCGTGGGTGAGCACAGGGGATTTACGTGTGGTAGTAGGTGGACTGTGGTAAGAAGGCACAAAGCGACATGGCCAGCGTGGCTCAGGCACCTCGAACCAACGCCGCGTCCAGCTCTGCATTGTTGGCAGCCGGTCCTCTGCTGGTTACAAAAGCACACCTGACCCCCACCCGCCGCAAACCGCCGACCCCCAAACCCCAACCGCACACTCCAACCGCCAGCGTCCAAGTTCATTATCTTCACCTGCTTCATGGTGCTGTGCTCCCTCTCTGCCACGTCCCTCGCCCTCTTCGTCAGCGCCTGGTGAGCGTTCATGGGGCCTCTCAGCACTTTCGCCTGCCTGGCTGCAGAGGCCTGGCCGCTGCGGCACCCTCGCCGCAGCCCACCAGACAACCAATAAACCAACACCGTATTGGGCGATTGCCTGCGGGTGCCTCAGGGCAGCCTGACGGTGCTGCGATCTTGCATTTGCCGAGTTGACTCGGCGGCTGTCCCCGCCGCCCGCATGCCTCCGGCCCACACGTTGAAATCGGCCCCCTCGGACCGCCTGGACGACCCCCAAAACCCTGGACCCCAGGTGCCGCACCACAGATCTGAGCGTGACAGTGCTGCCCCTGGCCCTGGAGATTTGCCGCCTGTTTGGCGGCTTCTTCCTGCCGCCCGCCAGCCTGCCAAAGTACTTTGTGTGGCTGGACGCGCTGTCCTACGTCAAGTACAGCTACGAGGGCGTCAGGTGTGATGCATGCTCGCGTCTGTGTGCAGAGGGCCGATGTTTCTGTTCGGCAGGGGTGAGGGTTAAGCGGGAGGTTGTCGAGGCACGTGTGTGGATGTGTACGTGGGAAGCTCGTGCACGCGCCCTTGTTGCGCAGCGTGCCCCCTCTGCATCTCAGTCCACCTGCAGCGCGCTAGCTGCCCTGACCCTCTTGCTGCCCGCGCCACCCATGTCCCCAGCCCCTTTTCCCGGCCCCTTGCCTGCCTCCTTTCTGCACTGGACACCTTCATGAAATCTCCTCTGCCTCTGACCTTGCCTGATCTTTGGATTCCAAACAGGGTCAACAAAGGGCTAGCTTGCCCTCAACCCTTTGTCACCTCCCACCACATCCCGTACGCATCACATTCCGCACGCGCTGCCTTGACCTCACCGTCTTCAACCTCAAAACACCACAACCCATGACAGCCTCAACGAGCTGGACGGCCTGGTGGTCACCTGCACCCCGTCTCAGCTGGCGCCAGACGGAAGCTGCCCCATCACCAGCGGCCAGCAGACCATCGACAAGCTCGGCCTGGGGTGGGTTGCCGCCGCGCGCGCCCGCCGCCACGCCGCGCCCTTCGATTCTGGGCAACAGAACTGTGACCAGTACAAAAGACTGCACAGCCTGGGCTTTGGTGGCCGCAGCGCAGCATGGCAGAGGTAGCTGCGGCAATTGTGTCCGTTCGTCTGCCTCAGCTACCTTGACATTGATTGCCCAAGGAACCCAACCATGTCCATGTCAGCCAGCCATTTTCCGCCCCTCACAGACGCGCCTACAAGCTGCTTTCTCGTTTCCCGAAGCCCTGACAGCCGCCTGGTGTGTCGTTTCAGATTCAGCTGTCTCGGCGCCCTAAAACCTAAACCCAGCTGCGCTCGCGAAAAACCCTCTCATCCGCCCGACGCAGGTACATCAACATCTGGGGCGCGGCCCTGGCGCTCATCGGGTTCATCATCGTCACGCGCGCCCTGGCCTATGTGGGGGTGCGCAAGATCAAGTGGTGACGAGACCACGAAGGGAAACAAAGAGCACAGAGACACAAGCACGAGCCACTTGACTGTTCGTCCACTTTGCTTCCTGCGCGCCAGCGCTTGGGGTCCCTGCACGCACAGCCGTCGCACTGTCAGCATGCTGCGCGCAAACGCTTGGTAGACCTGGACCGTCGGACTCGCCTTTCAGCGCCTGGCGCCGCAAGTGTTTTCTTGAGCTTGCAAGCGCATGTCTTTTGCTGCTTGGAGGGGTGTTGGGATGCTTTCAGGGGCGTCAGGCGGTTGTTTGCAAGCAGTGGTGCAGCACAAGAAACCACGTCAAATTGCTGTCGTTCACTGGGCCCCTGTATGCCCAGTGCATGCAAAGCTTGCGAGCACCAAGGCCCACTGGCTGTCCAACTCCCAGGTGCTGGCCGAGGCAGGTCCTCAAACCTTGACCCTTCCTCAGGCAATGCGTATCGACATTGCAGGGGAAAGCAGCGCGGGTTGCAGGGTTGCCTTCTGCCCTGGACTCTCCCACAAACATACTTTTCACACTTCCCAAACCCCAGGGGCACTTGTGCTTCATTTTATCGCTGTCGTCTGTGTATTTGCCGCGGCATGTATGTATGCCCAGCCATATCTTGCAGGATCCACGATCATTGCAAGGCTGCTAGCTGCCACAGTTTGTAATCGGTTTCCCGTTGGGCGGCAGCTCCATACTCGGCATACGTGTTTCAAGCGACACTCAGTGCTCTCATGGCTTTGGTGGGTTGTGGAACACAGCTGAGTGGCGGCCGCGCGCTGAATTTGTGGGTGAGCTTGGCAGCGCGTGGTTGCTGGCCCAGGCTGCGCTGTTGCAGGGGATTGCTGCTTTGCAGTGCACAATCAAGACGACTGTTCATTTGAAATGAGCGTGTAGCAGCAAGCGCTGCGCACAGAGCATGCAGGGAAGTTGGGGGTCGTGACAGCGGAGAGGGTGCTGCAGAGTCAAAGCGGAGCTGGGGCACCACGGAGCTGGTACAAAGCGAAGAATCTTGCCTCGAGGGCAACTTGTGACCTCCAGTAGTGCTGTCCTGCTCGGTGGTACAGAACAAACCCAGCTAGAGCTCGGCTGAGGACAAGCTTAGATCTGTGCTTCTGCTCATGCATTGCGGCGTTGCGAAACGCCGCATGGTGCTGCACACCAGCCACCGTTTGCGTGCAGCTGATCCAGTTTCGGGAGATCACGTGGCATGCACCAGCCACATCTGCAATTATCCAAATACCGTATACTGACTGTAAGACGTGAGATTGCGGCCCTGGCGACCGTGTCCGATCCTCCAAGATGCATCTGAGCTGGTTCGGTACCGGTAGTGCCATAACAACAAATTTTCTGCATAAGAAATTCGCCGAAGCAATCAAAGCATAGAACGGTTTTCGGTCAACGCCGAGCGTTGTATGAATGATCTCGCATCGAACGGAATTGATCTTGGCAATAAACTACAAGAATATTATTCGGATTGCACGCGTGATGCATGCAGCAGCAGGAAGCCAGCGAGGAGCCGGCTCGGCCAACGCGCAAGCTTCCCCCAGCTGCCTAAACGCTCTGCGCAAGCTGCTTGCTGCCTTCCTGCCTCCGTTGCCAGCGTTCTTAAGGCCCCGCCGCCCTATCATTCATTCACCCTGCTTCCAAGGGATCCGTTTGCATGCCCTGCTCTGTTTGTGCATAACCACATGCTTGTGCATGTACTCCACGACTGCATGCCCCTGCTGCCACCTGTCCTGAGCTAACAACCCCGCCCAAATCCCATGAGGCGCACTGTGGCTCGACCACAGGACCCCGATTGGGTCAGCCTGCGGCCTGCGCGCGGGCGGCAGCCATGAGGCGCACTGTGGCCAGACCACAGGACCCCGAAGGCGGCCGACCTGCGGCTTGCGCGCAATTGGCACCCTCCCCCCTCGAGTCGCACGTCGTCTCGATCGCAGTACCCAACTGGGTCGACCTGTGCGCCCCTGCGCATACTTCATTAAATCCCCCCAAAACGGTGGCTCTCGCCACCCCAACAACATGACCGTATCCATCCTAGTGATGAACGCCCTCGACAGCGCTGTTAACCCGCAGCGAGCCGTAGCGGTGGTCATCGCATTCACCCTGCTGTCGCGCTGCCGCCTGCCACTGCAAGCCAGAGCTTTGCAGGTGAGTGGGGCTCTGGCCTGAGCATATCGCTGCACAATTGGCTTGCATGGTTTGTACTCCATCATGCAGGAGCCCCGATTATGCAGTCAATCAGTCGTCATTTTTGTCATCTTACAAGCAGCGCTGAGTCATTGGATCGTTTCACAGGCTATCAGTCTCAGAGTTCCCAGCTTGAAAACTGGGTGGCGCAGCTCAAACGACGCTCTGTGAGACGGCAGAATGCCCTCTCTCACTCCAGTGGCCACCGTGACTAGCCCCAGGCAGTGCCGCCCGCGCCGCCCTTGCTCACCCCACCAGGGCGCGCCGCTTTGGCAATGCCAGCCATTCGCATGGTCCCGCCAGGACGCATGCACCCCTGTAAGTTTGTGTGTGTGTGAGTCAGTGTATGCTTGTGTAGGTGTGTGTGCTTGCCTGCGCACACGTGCGTGTGTCAAAAGACGAGGAGCAATGATGCAGTGCAGCACAACAGATTCCTGTTTTTGCAGCACGCAACACGTGTGCTGCATTTACAAATCGTACCGGTATGTACAATCGATTGCGCTGCCCACGGGACCACACTTCAAGCAGCACGCCATCAAATACAGCTTGCAGAGGGCGCTTCCCTCGTTTGCATCCATGACCCATCACACCGTTAACAGTACCAAGCAAGTCATTGACCCACCTGCTGCCCAAGCCCTGGAAACATGGGCATCCCGTACCCGCCCTGCGGCATCCAAACGCCCCCAAAAGGCTGCGGCTGCCGCGCCACCGCCCCCGCTGCTGCCGCCGCTGCTGCCGCCGCTGCTGCCTGCTGCACCAACCCGGAGGCTCCGCCGTGGGCGGCTGCGACGGCCGACCTTGCGCCGGCTTTGGGGCCTCCAGCTGCGACCGCACCTGTGGGCAGCATGGCAAACGGGACCTGCCCCATGAATTGGGTTGGAGCGCCCATGAATGGTGTCATTGCGCCCGCATAAGGCGCCATCATGGCTCCTGCAGATGGGTAGGGTGGTTGGTTGGATGTTTGATGGGATGGGTTGAGAAGTCAAGGGCTGGGCAGGGGAAGAGCAGTGTGACAAATTGTGTGTGCTCGGCCCTTCAGATATGAGTCAACACAAAGTGAGGCAGGGCATTTGCTGTGTAGCATGCTGGGGCCAGCCGCCCTGGTGCCGCTGTGCCGTTCTAATCTCCAGTTTTTCCCCAAACCGACCCACCCACCGTCGTTGGGCTTACGCTTTGCAATGGATGATGGAACCGGCGCCTTGGCCCCGAATCCTGTAGAGCCTGGCGCGCCAAAAGCCATGCCTGGCGGCAGCATCCAAGGTGCGGCGCCAGGGGCCAAAGGGAGTAAGCCTGGCGCACTCATGGTCGAGCCCGCCCGCCCGCCCCCTTTTGCCGCTATTGGGGCCTGATGGGGCGCAGATGGGGCAGGAAGCGCGATGCGTTCGCATGTGTGAACGCGGATGTGTGTGCGCGCGCGCGCGCGCGCGCGCGTGTGTGTGTGTGTGTGTGTGTGTGTGTGTGTGTGTGTGCACGCGCGCGTGCGTGCGTGCGCGTGCGTGTGTGCGTGCATGCGTGTGTGCGTGCGTGCGTGCGTGCGCGTGCATGCGCGCATGCGCGCATGCGCGCATGCGCATGTGTGGGTGCGTGCGTGCGTGCGCGCATGTGTGTGTCTGTGTGTGTGTGATTGTGCGCGCCCCACCCTGCATGCCTGGCTGCCGAACGCTGTTTACTTGTGCCTCATACCTCCCACAGCAGCAGCAGCAGCAGCAGCAGCAGCAGCAGCAGCAGCAGCAGCAGCAGCAGCAGCAGCAAGCCCACCTGCATCATCCCAAGTGGGTAGGGTGCGAAGCCACCATACATCCCTGCCGCCCCACAGGGTAGCCCAGCAGGACCCAACGACAGCGCGCGCGGCAGGCGACCTGCCGTCACCGCCAACGCCAGTGCGGCCGCCGCGCCGCCGTGCTTCCCCCGGGTTTCAGGCAAGACGTTGTGTCCCCGAGCGCCGGCGGCTGCCTTAGCCTGCGACCCCCCTGCGGCCGCTGCAGCCGCAAGATGCTGCTGCTGCTGCTGCTGCTGCTGCGGCGGCGGCGGCGGCGGCGGCGGCGGTGACACGGCCGCCGCGCCGCGGTCGCGCGGTGAGCCGCGCCCCGCCGTCGCACCTGCAACGGGCTGCCTAACCGTGGCGGCGGGCGCTCCCTTGGCTCTCGCGGCTGGGGGCGGCATCCGCCGCACCACCGGCAGCGCCGCCGCGGCATGGCTCGCGTAGCCGCCGGGCGAGGGCGCGCGCGCCGCAACTGCTGCTGCCGCTGCCGCTGCCGCTGTGGGTGAGCTTGCGGCTGGCCCCGGACATGGCAGCTGCTGGTATTGCTGCTGCTGCTGCTGCTGCTGCTGCTGCTGCTGTTGCTGCTGCTGTTGCTGCTGTGATGGGCTGTGGAGCCGCGCAGCCTGTGCTCGCTCTTGGCCCCTAGGCCCGACGAGCTGGGGCTGCTGCAAGGGGTCCGTCTGCTGCAGTGACAGATGCTGCCGGCCTGCGGCCGCAGAGGCTTGTGCATAGCTGGCATCGGTCGGGAGCTGCAGCGGTTCCAGATGCAACGCACGGCTGTGCTGCTGTTGCTGCTGCTGCTGTTGTTGCTGTTGCTGCTGCTGCTGCTGCTGCTGCTGCTGCTGCTGTTGCTGCTGCAGCAGGATATGCTGCTGCACCTGCCGCTGAAGTGCGGTGAACGTCGCAAAGGATGGCTCAGAGCCGGGCAGGGTGGGCTGGTTGGCGCTGGCCACTGCCAAAAACCTTGGGAAGCGGGAAGGGGACAGACGTGTGGGTTGCATGTGTCAGCATGTATGGTCCATCACAGAGCCCATGACGCCCCGATGATGCGCGCGA